ACCTGAAGACTAACTGTGCCATTAAGACCATACGGGCTCATTGCGCCAGTAGCTCAGGTCGATTCTCGGGATCTCATTCCCACTGCAATCCAGTTTACGGTTCCTGTCATTGAGATTAGTGATTAAATGTGGTCTTAAAGTGATTTGTTTTTATGAATACAAACCAATCAAAAGTCTGAACCAAAGCCAACGATTGCATGGACGGGACGTCGCTATTGTCGCATAAAATGCGGGCTAAACTGGATTTCCTAATCTCCAGGAGCTGGTCCTCATTGAACGAGGACTCGAGCCCTCCGTTTTCAAACCAAAACCGGTCGCCGTTTTTTAGTCTCCGGAACTGTTCGGCTATAATACAGGCAAATGTTGGCCCAACTATACCACCGTTTATTAAATTCTCGGAAACGCCACCAATAAACAGATCGATGTCATCGACATTATTGTATACCCGACCCATTAGTTGAGCCGCTTTTGGGTGCATAATTGACTCCAAGTCTTGAAAACCTTTCACTGGTTTTAGACCACAAATCTCTCGGAAACGATTATAAGGTGGGAGTCCATGATCTCGACCTTCACATAGAGTTAACCACAAAATAAGGCATATTTAGTCAACTGATTAAATGAATGTTGAATTTATTAATTTATGAACAATTGTGAACCTCTTTGTATGTTAAGTGCAATCAAATCCATGCCAAAGGGCTGACCAATTGGTTCAAACAAATGATTAGTGACTTCTTTTGTAAAAAAGTTATCGCCTATTAATACAAATAAATATTTAGTTTAATTGGATTCATAATAAAACTTTTTATTATAAGAGTCATACCGTGTTGTATGGGTTGACCCGTCAAACCATTAACCATAAGGTCGAGTGCTTTTTGTTTATACAGAATCTGTGGATTATTGAACTGAGTCTTGAGCTCAACCCTATCGACAACTCTATTATTATCATTCAATAGCTGAATGTTTCCCTCAATCAATGTATGCAAACGAAAGGCTGCCGTTCCGAAGGCCGACGTTATGCCGGCGTTTATGTCCTCATTATAACTCTTAGTATGAGATTTTCGGGTCAGAAACAGATCGAAAGCCCGCATAGCGTTGCGACCGATAATAATGGGCAGGAATTCATTGAATATAATGTGTTGCCATTGGGCGGTCACTATGCGCCGGCTCTCCTGATAAAGAATTTCGTCACTCCAGCCCTCATTCAGTCCGTGCAAGAGGTCGGTCACCCGGTTGTGCTCTCGCATCCATACGGTGTGCATAACCGTCAGCTCCGACTGTTCGTTCACTCTCATGTCTCCGGCGACGAAACACTGCAACTGTTGCTCACGAGGTATACCACAAAAACCAGTGAAATAAATATTTAGTTTAATTGGATTCATAATAAAACTTTTTATTATAAGAGTCATACCGTGTTGTATGGGTTGACCCGTCAAACCATTAACCATAAGGTCGAGTGCTTTTTGTTTATACAGAATCTGCGGATTATTGAACTGAGTCTTGAGCTCAACCCTATCGACAACTCTATTATTATCATTCAATAGCTGAATGTTTCCCTCAATTAATGTATGCAAACGAAAGGCTGCCGTTCCGAAGGCCGACGTTATGCCGGCGTTTATGTCTTCATTATAACTCTTAGTATGAGATTTTCGGGTCAGAAACAGATCGAAAGCCCGCATAGCATTGCGACCGATAATAATGGGCAGGAATTCATTGAATATAATGTGCTGCCATTGGGCGGTCACTATGCGCCGGCTCTCCTGATAAAGAATTTCGTCATTCCAGCCCTCATTGAGTCCGTGCAAGAGGTCGGCCACCCGGTTGTGCTCTCGCATCCATACGGTGTGCATAACCGTCAGCTCCGACTGTTCGTTCACTCTCATGTCTCCGGCGACGAAACACTGCAACTGTTGCTCACGAGGTATACCACAAAAACCAGTGCCGTTGTCGAAGGGAAGGAACTGTCGTCTGTTAACGATAGACACCCGTAGTCTTCCCCGACGACCACTTCGCAGAGATCGCGCTGTTTGTTCCGTTGATCTGAAATGCGGTGTCAGTTAAATGTGTTAATAGTTTTGTGGTTTAATAACAAACCCATATATATTGCTGGCGTCCAGATATGCCGTCAATTGGTTGAGCTGTTCCCGTGGACCCAATTGACAGTTGGGACGGATTGCAGGGGCGGACCGCACAAAGTTTAGACACGTTTGACCTTTCAGTTCAATTGTCACATTAGATAAATGTTATTCATTAGTTGCAAATGTGATACAATACCAAAGTTTGCATAAAATGGGTCATTATTTACAGGGGCGGACCGCACAAAGTTTAGACACGTTTGACCTTTCAGTTCAATTGTCACATTAGATAAATGTTATTCATTAGTTGCAAATGTGATACAATACCAAAGTTTGCATAAAATGGGTCATTATTTCCTATAGGTATGGGAAAGCAGGCCGGGTGTACGAGTTGGGGGTTTTGACGAAACTCTTCACCACAACATCGGAGGGCAAAGTTATCGTTGGCTTAAAGATAATTTACTAATTAATTCATAATTTTAAAGATAATGAAATAAATATTTTTGAATTAATACTTCTAGTGCTGGCTGTATGTGTGAGGTCATGATCAATAAACTGTCCTAGTTGCATAACCATCAAAGTATATCGACGATTGGGTCGATCCCTATCGGGTGCCAATGCCAGCGACACATCTCTAGCGCTCGGAAGGGGCGATCCGTCCACTGAAACTCGCGGTTCACTTATGCCATCGGAGTAATGAGCGTCCAGTAGTCGGTTAAACGTTATCATAGATCTGCCTATAATTTATCAATTATTAATCAAATTTCATAATAAACTCAACAGGGGCGGACCGCACAAAGTTTAGACACGTTTGACCTTTCAGTTCAATTGTCACATTAGATAAATGTTATTCATTAGTTGCAAATGTGATACAATACCAAAGTTTGCATAAAATGGGTCATTATTTGCTATAGGTATGGGAAAGCAGGCCGGGTGTACGAGTTGGGGGTTTTGACGAAACTCTTCACCACAACATCGGAGGGCAAAGTTATCGTTGGCTTAAACATAATTTACTAATTAATTCATAATTTTAAAGATAATGAAATAATTATTTTTGAATTAATACTTCTAGTGCTGGCTGTATGTGTGAGGTCATGATCAATAAACTGTCCTAGTTGCATAACCATCAAAGTATATCGACGATTAGGTCGATCCCTATCGGGAGCCAATGCCAGCGACACATCTCTAGCGCTCGGAAGGGGTGATCCGTCCACTGAAACTCGCGGTTCACTTATGCCATCGGAGTAATGAGCGTCCAGTAGTCGGTTAAACGTTATCATAGATCTGCCTATAATTTATCAATTATTAATCAAATTTCATAATAAACTCAATGGTTTCAATGGATCTATGATTACCCCACAGCCTATTGCGCCTATTATTACAGGTGCCGTCAGCGCTCCTATACTTCGTTGATATACATTCCGGTTCTTTGGGACAAAAGCCGTTCATTCGTGTAGTCCTTAAGTCAATACCAGATAACCGACGGCGCGATTGCTCCACATTAAAGCCTTTCCTATATTTCAATCATAATTAACTATAATGTTATGAAAATTATTATACACTTTACTCTTTGGACAACTCTTTGGCGGTCTGTAAAGCTATGACTGCATCCCTGGCCAACTCAATCGCCCTGGGATTGGAGCCGAAGAACTGCTGGTGCAAGAATGTACCAGAACCTCTTTTGGGCAGCAAATTATCCTTTTTGAGTCTGATCTCAAGTCTATCCTGATTTTGAATGAAAACTACGGCCAACTTCTGTGCGTTATTTATATCACTCAAAGTGATGGACGAGTCCTTAACGGGTTTGAAATGCCGGCTCTCTATGTCCTTTGGGATACGAATTTCGACTAAATTTTGTGAAAATAATTTATAAAAATGACATTTCTTTGGAAATATAACTCTATATTGAGTGCACTTACGCTCGAAGTCCTTTCCAATGATCTTAACGTCGGGTTCACAACAAACACCTTTAGCGCCGTCAGTGCGGACACATTGGCCCACATGTGCCTCATCCAGGTGTAGGAAACACACGTTAGGTGTGTGACAATCCTTGGGCTGGCATTGAGGTGCACCTCCACCACTGTTTCCAGATCTTGACGGTTGTGGCTGTGCTTGATTACTGCCATTGTCATCATCATCATCAGGGTATATTACCCGTGAATCTCTATTACCTTGCTGAACACATTTTAAAGTTGAACTCAACAAGAGTATAATAATTAATTTGTGAAACACTATATTAATGAATATTTTTTGAGAATGCATTTGGAAAAGAGTTTCTGCCAAAAATGTCTTGGATATGAAAAATGACAATAACATTGATTTGTATTGTTTGACATCTTTTGTATCATTTATATGTGTTTAACAAATTCAATATTTATTATAAAGTCATTATTGTTCAGAAGAATTATTGGAAATTCCGAATAATAATAAAGGGTTTCCACTGAATAGTTACTATTTTATTATTTTTTTGTTAAACATTTGATAGAAAACTATAATAAAATACAGTATCAGACAATAAAAACTATTATTGATTAAGTAATCAAACCGAAGGACGACCGGTTTTGAGCCGTGATTTACGTGTAGTTTTGTAGTACACAATGTATTTTTTGTATTTCAATTGAAATAACATATAAAAATCATATTAAATCTATAATTAATGAATTTATTAATGATATGTTTCGTCATTTCATTGACGAATGAATTTGCGAAAAATACAATCTTTGTTAAAAACAATTGCAAAACACAAAAACTATGATAATTAGTAATTAAACAAAAGATTATTTAGTATTGGAGTCAATGATGAGTTGTGAGCCGTATTCAGCGATCATAACTGTGGCCGCATTAGTGTTGGCCGACACCACACTCGGCATAACCGACGCGTCTATTACTCGCAGATTAGCTACACCTCTGACCCTAAGTTGCGGGTCGACTACAGCGGTCTCATCGTTTTCGGCCCCCATCTTACAGGTGCCCACTATATGGGCGGCCGAGGAGGTCAGCATTTGGGCCATACATTTGAGATACTGTTTGGGCGGATGAGTGAAGTTTAAGTTATGATAGGACTCACAGCCGTTAACCAATGTCTCGAACGGCTCCACTCCGTATGGTTTGAGTGCCGGCGACAGAGCTATGCGATAGGCTTCGGCTATTCCTTCAGCGATTACCGACAGGTCCTCGGGATCAGCGAAATAGCTTGGATTCAGTAGTGGTTTATCAAAAGGTTTGGCTGACCCTAGTCTTAGGGTTCCCCTACTCTTAGGTCTTAATAATATGACAGAAACACTGAATTGCGAACGATTTGTGTACGGCTTATAAAACTGGTCCCAAATATCGTCTCTAATTCCGGTCGCTTTACCGCTGCCTCTGTTGGCCGCCGGACTCGACTCCATAAAACCCATCTGAATGTCCGGCCAATCAGTTTGGTTGACAAAAGAGCTCTGGAAAAGTGTGGTCGAGTACTCGGACCGAGTCAGAGGTCCCGTTCCCTTCACAAAATACTCTGAAAACGATTCAAAGTCTGGATTTTTCTTATCAAAGGTTGCATTGGTTAAGAAGTGGACCCCATATACACGGGGGTGGTCGTGGAGGTTGTCTCCTACCGGTAGATCGGCTATCATTTCAATATTCAAGTCTTGCAAATGCTTTTTGGGTCCGATTCCTAACCAAAAAATTAATTATTTTTATCTCTATTAATAATTTATAGCGTTTAGTACCCGAAAGCATAAGTAGTTGTGGAGAGTTGACAGCACCGGCAGATATAATCACTTCTTTCTTGGCTTTCACTACATATTTGTGTCCATCCCTCCAGAACTGAACCCCAACTGCTCTTTTGTTTTTGTCGATTAGTATTCTTGTGACCAAAGTATTGGTCAAAATGTGGAGATTTTTTCGCTTATAAATAGGAGACAGATATGCCTCTGAAGATGACTGTCGCATACCGTTGCGGACATTGCGTTGTGTAATACCGGTTCCCATCCTTTGTTTGCCATTTAAATCAATTATTTTATAACCGGAAGCGTTGGACGCAATCACCCATTGCTTTGTCATGAGTTCCACCGCTGGAGGCGTTGACACTGTCAGGGGTCCGGCTGTTGAGTGGTAGCCATTTGTGGCCAAAGAGGGATCCGTTTCATTTTCTGATTTTAAAAAGTATGGGAACACTTGAGACCAGTTCCAGCCGTTGGCGCCCAAATGGGCCCATCCATCAAAGTCTTTGGGATTTCCACGTAAATGGACCTGAATTTCAAAGAATCATGACTTCATTCAAGTATATATTACTACAGTATAAATAATTATGTTCAATAAATCCGCTTTTATTTGATACACTCCTCTAATATTAACATTTCTACGAAAATTCTTTATTACATTACGACATTGACTTTGTTTTTATGGAAATATTTAATATTAATAAACACCAAAAAATACTCAATTAATAATAAAGGTTATTAATTGCATTTTATAATTTATATCTATTTCAACTTTAATAGAAAACTAAAATTAACAGCATTGTGTCATTATTTAAATATGAGAATAAGTTTTTATATTTTAGAAATTGATTGGAAATTAAAAATTGTGTAATATTTAAACTTTTCATTAATAATAATGAATAAAAAATTATTTCTAAAAAGCAAACCATTCTGTTGATGGCAGAGGTGCCTCCCAGTGCCCGACCCCGGGGCCAATTCATAGTCCTATTATTGAGCCCAAAACAGGAATAATTTTGCGA